CAGGTTTTGGATATTTTCTTTTCTTCATCTCCACAGCTAAAAGAAAAAAATCTATGGAATTTTTTTTCACCTAAAAGTCCCTTGGGTTATTTATTTATTTATTTAATAAATTTGTATGGCTGTCCATCTCATATATATGACTCTGGGTGGCTAACAATTAAAACAACATAAAAACTGAGTAAGAATAAAACCAATAATTAAAAACATAAATAGCATAGTAGTATAAAAGCAGCCAAGAACAATAGCAATATCTCACAATCAATATAACCTAGAAGCGCACTTAGCCACACTATTAGGGCCCCTGTCTTGATGGCAGAAGAAAGATTTTAATGCCTTGAGAAAGGCCAGCAGGGTCGGGGCAAATCTGATCTCGGGGGTGTGAGAAGAAAATTTTAGTAGCCTTTTGTATGTTTTAATGTTAGTTTTGACTGCATTTGATAAAGCCAAGTTAGCTGAAATATGGCCTTTAGGGCAATGTAGGCAATGAGAGGAAATAAGTAAACTTGCAAGACTAAGCAAACTTGCTGATGGGAAAAGACGTGACAGGGATGAATAGAACAGGAAAGTATGGTAAAATTAGCACCAAAGACGTTACAAATCAATTGCTAAACCTAGGAGTCTTGTCTGTGGTTTGTAGTTTTTGAGGATAAAAGAGATTGCATCTGAGGGGGTTGGGGCCACACAGCTAAGCTGTCTTACCTGACCCCTTGCTCGTGATAGTAGGCATTGCAATGTGAATCTAAGTAGGTACCTTGTATGCTATTGGTTGAATTTTACTTGCTTGTTGAACTAACATTTAATAAAGCTTTTAGAACTTTGAAGTGACTTGTTTTATGGTGTGTCTGCCTCCCATGTTTAACGTGTTTTTTTCCCTGATGGGGGAAAATGTTCCAAAGGTTAGGCGTCATGATAGCAAAGGTCCTCTTCCTGGGTCCCAGAGCATGCATCTCTTCCCAGACCTAACAGGACAGGTAGACACCACCAGAGAAAGATGGTCCTGTAAGCAATCCAGCTCCAAGCCATGAAGGGCTTTAAAGGTGACCACCAACACTTTGAATTGTACCTGGAAGCATACCTATAGCCAATGCAGCTCATGAAGCAGAGGAGTCACATGTACTGAGTGACCAGCACCCATAACTACCTACGTACTGCATTTTGCTCCAGTTGAAGCTTCCAAATACTCTTCAAGTGCAGCCCCATGTACAGTTCATTGCAGTAATCCAATTGGGAAGTAACTAAGGTGTGAATAATCATGAGCAGGGCCTCCCAGTCCAGGAAAGGGAGCAACTGGCATCCAACACAAAGCTATGCAAAGGCCCTCCTGGCCACAGCTGTCACATGCTTTTTGAGCAGGATCTGCAAGTCCAGCAGGATTCCCCACATTGTGCATGGGATCCATTTGGGATAGTGCAAACCCATCGGAAACAAAAAATGGAAGGTCTCCAGAACCAGGAGGTGCTAAAACCCAAAGCCACTTGGTCTTACTAGGGTTGGGTTGAAGCCTGGTGTTCCTCATCCAGTCCCCTACAGCCTCCAGATACTGAGACAGGACCTCCAGGGCATCACTCAGACAGCCCAGGGTGGAGATATATATGTTATTTACTGGAAGCATCTGTTTATCTACCCCAAAGTATCTGCAATGGTTGCCATCCTATTTAATTATATTTTAAATGAGTTAGTATAACAGGGATGAATTTAGGTGGCAAGTAATAAATTCTACTTGGTCCCAATGGGACTGGTCCAACCTATTCTGACCCACAGGATAGGTGGGCAGATGCCAAACAAAAGAAAAAAAATTGGTCAGCTAGGCTGACCTTTTATATCTGCTAATCTGCCCAGTGTTGGATGAGCTGTGATGCAACATTTGTTTGGTTCCCAGGAAACTGCAACCCACCCTTTTGGGGGGTCTACACCAATGTTTCCCAACCTGGACAACTTTGATACACATAGACTTCAACTCCAAGAATTCCCCAAGTATGACCATTGCCAAGATTTCCTGGGTAAAAGTCCACATGTATGAGATGGTCCCAGGTTGGAAAACACTTGTCAACACAAAAATTCCTACCATACTTTAGTGGATATGAGCTTACCCTAGAAGAACTCCAAATTTATCTGATAAACCATAAGACTGTCCAGATAGAAAATTACTCAAAGACTATAAGAAAGGATGGAATTATCAGCTGAGTCCCAGACTGATACAGTTAGGACAGGGAAAAAACCTTCAGTTCAGCTTTGAGAGTGCAAATAGGCTAATACAGATGCTGGATATTTTCTATCTTTCTGGCTTACTTTCCTCAGTCTTAATGTAAATGTATAAATAAATTTAAATTAATCCATTTTAACCTTACTAATGCAGTTTTCTTCTCTCCCCAGTGTTGCATTGTAGCTCAGCTTTCCAAATCTCCATGGATCTAGCACGCAAACCAATGACCCTCCACATCCTTTTCAAAATCAGCCAATCATCCACAGGGTGGCTCAAGTGGCTGCCTGAATGAATGAATGAATCTGGTCAGTCTCCTGAGTTTAACATTCATTGGGGATCCCTATAAATGCCTTCTCCCATTGGTTCTAATACCATCTTGATTAAATTCTAGAAGCTGAAGCCCAACTCATCAGAAGGACACTACCTTGGGGAAAAAGGTTCTAAAGGCAGCGTCTCTTCTAAAGGATCCTGTTACCAAGGTGCAAAACCAGTACATAGACATTCCCATGTAGTCACTAGGATTAAAACTCATTTTAAAAGAGATTCTACATTACAAAAACACATCAAAGAGAGAAGCAACACAACAAAAACGGAAAGCAACAAAAATACTATCTAACCACATTGGTGATGGGCAAACAAGTAGAAAGGGGAGAAGGAGGAGTATTACAAAGACTGGCTCCTTTTGATTTCAGGTTAGTTGGAATGGAATGGAATGGAATGGAATGGAAGGCCATTGTCCATTTTGTGGTATGTTTAACTATGTTCATGAATGTTTTTATTCTAGATGGGAATTCAGAATTGCGGGTGATATTAGAATGTTTGCAAGCATTCAAGACTGCACTTTGAACTGATACCAGCAGCCCTCTAAAATACGGGGCAATGGGAATGAATTTAGCTTTTACATTGATTCCTATAAGAATACAAATGGTGCCAGCTTTGGGGCAGGTTCAAAGACAGGGTGATTTTGGGAACATGAGTGTGCCTTTCCCTGGTCCCTGAGCAAACTCGGCCAGCCCAAAACTACAGGGAGTCATTTTTAGGACAGAAGGTAGGACTTAGTGGAAGTTACAATTCAGAAATGGAGTATCTGCTGTGAGCATAGAAAGTCATAAATGCAGTCCTTGTGTTACTAGGTAGAAGAGGGAAATGAACCCACTGACTTTAACTGACTGAAAAACTTCCTTTTTGGGAAGTTAGTTACTTTGCAAAAAAAAAAAAAAAGCCCAGGTCTGACCCAGTCTATGAGGGATTCCCAAGCTTCTAGAGAAATATATTTTCAGCCCTAACCCTAGACATATCTACATGGAAAGTAGTCCCACTGAGCTCAACTGAGTAACTTTCACAAAAGTGTAGTTTGTTCTAGAAGTAGCCACTGAGCCAATCTTATCTGAATACAAAACTTATAGGGGAAATTAACCTGAAAACTATAATTAAGGAAAACTAACCTGAAATCAAAAGGAGCCAGTCTTTGTAATACTCCTCCTTCTTCCCTTTCTATTTGTTTGCCCATCACCAATGTGGTTAGATAGTATTTTTGTTGCTTTCTGTTTTTGTTGTGTTGCTTCTCTCTTTGATGTGTTTTTGTAATGTAGAATCTCTTTTAAGGTGAGTTGTAATTCTAGTGACTACATGGGAATGTCTATGTGCTATGTATGTAGGAAAGAATACAAAAGTGGTTGGCCATTCTCTTCTTCTGTTATTTTCTTAAGCTTCTCACTGTACCCTGAAGATCTCTTGGTGGTTTCCCATCCCACCCAAATGCTAACCTGGCCAGCGCTAACCTGGCCCAGCTCCGCATAGCTTTTCAAGATCAGCCAGGGCATGTCCCCCAGTGGTGTCCATTTGTGATGCAGAACTTTTTAATAACACACAGCATTATAATGTCAAATTTCAAAAGTAAAAATGTTATAAAAGGTGGGTGTGGATGTGTGAGAGAGAAAAAGAGGAAGGAGGAGGAAGTATCAGGTAGGTCTAACAAGATCAAGCTACAACCTGTTTAGAAGCTAGATTTAACAAGCTATAATTTGTTTACACATATTCCCCTAAGTCTGGAAATCAGTGCATCCCTTCCTTCCATCCCTAGTGAGCACTCCATATATCTGGCAAGTCACTCTAAACAAGCATTTCCTCTAAAGAGATCGGGAAAAAGAAATCCTGCACGTCTGGGACATTCCCTCCCCCGCAATTCCTCTTCACTTCCTGCATCTGTGAATATAGGATTCTCTCTCTCTCTCTCTCTCCCTCTCTTCCTCCCTCCCTCTTTCTCTTCAACTCGGCCCGTCTCCAGCGTTTAAGAATGCCAGACTGTAGGTTGCAAAACGCTGGGAGGGTTGGCCCTAGAAATTAGCATTGCTATCTACGCCCGGCTGAGAATGTGAGCTAATCTCCTGCAGCAGAGCCGTTAAAATAATTGATGAATGTGGGCTGGATTCTCAGGAGTGGGGAGAAAGGGGCGGGGGAGGAGGTACTGATTTCACTCCGGTGGCGTCAGAATTGCGTCAATTTGGGTTTCAACCACGTCTTCGGGCTCCGAGCTGGGTGAGTCAGAAGACTCGAACCAGCGGACAAGGGCTCACGAATCACTGTGAAGGAGGGGAGGACCGAGCGAGGCCTTCCCTCCCCTTCGTCTCTCCCCCACCCGCGATTCCTCTCTACCTCCTCCTCTGTCTCAAACCTTCCCGGTCTTTCGGGCTGGAGTTGGCATCACGTTGGAAAACACGTCTCCCCCTGTTTGTGTGTGGGGCGCGCGTGTGCGGCGCGTTTTCGCCGCGAACCGCCGGAGAGAGCGAGGCAGAGGGGCAGAAAAGGGCTTTCAGCACCTTGGACAGCGCGCGCAGCAAACAACATGGCTCCGATCACAGCCAGCAGAGAAGAATTCGGTAAGTGGATTTTTTAAAAGAAAAATGCAAATCAAGATTCGGTTCATTTTTCACCGGTCCTTCTGAGGCAAAGTATATGACTCTGCCATTTTGGACACCTTGGGGACTTTGGACACTGGAAACGTAAGGCATGTTTCTACTTTGATCTGGGTAGCCTCTGCGCCTCTCCTTTCAAGCACCCGTGGGCTGATGGGTGGATTTGACAAAAGTTTTTGCTTTTCTTCTTCTCCTCTACTGCTTTTAGATTTTCAGATGATTCCTTCTCCACCCTTCTGTCTTCCCTCCCCAGTTGCTGTAGACAGAATATAAGGACTGTGGTAGGGAGTGAGGAGAGAGAAATGATGGATTTGCCTCAATCTTTGTTTTAAGGAAGCTGTGATCAAGAATAGAATGAGTCATTTCAAACCTGTATTCTACATGCTCTCAGAATAATTGTCATAATTGCTTCCGTTGGTACCAAGATAGCTACTAGACACTCAAACAGATTAGTCACCCATCTCAACATTCATGTATCTCTTTCTTTCTATCTCCCCTCTCTGCATATGCCTGTTTGCCCCCGGTCATAAGTGTTGTTCCTTGGATAACGCACGTAAAGTGGTACCTCATGCTTTTAACTCAGTGCAAGATTTCAGAGAGAAACTTAAAGCGGTCTGCCTGTTTTGGCTGTTACTTAACATCAAAACCTGGCAATTAAAACCAAACCAAACCTTGCATTAATATTTCTCATCTGCTTAAAGGCTGAAGAAATGACCAGGAGAGAAATGCATATATAGAAAAGGTTCTTTTTCAGCTATCGAGTGTGGGGGAGGGGAGCGAGTGACCATTAACATTGTCCTATTTATTGTCTTTGCCATGTAATGGTCTCAGGATACCACTAGTACTTTATAGACAAAGTATTGTGTTTTAAACTCCTGATGGTCCCTTCTAGGACAATGGGATCATTCCTAAGGAACATATGCCATTCCTTCCACCCCCGGCTCAAGTTGTTCTTTTAGCTTTCAGTTGAAAATAAATCAGTTCAATGTTGACTTAAGTTTACATGCGGAGAATGTTGAAGGGGTCTTTTCAGACAGATACCCTTACAATCTGCCCTGTTCTTTTCTTCACAGCTAGTGGAGTCTCAAGTCAGCATCTTATTCTCACACAGATGTTAGAATACCTAGGTGATCATAGGAGAACAGCATCAAAGCAGATGGTGATCCCACTGGTAGTTACCATACAGCACATTTAGTTAGGATTTCTTCTTGTGCCACCCCCTCATAGGTGTCCCTAATTTCATTTGTGACAGCTTGCTCACCTCATAATTGACTTTGTGAAGATAATTAATATTTGTAACTTGCTCTCAGAAACAATCTGCGGGGTGGAAACATCTAAGCAATACTTGCAAACACATCGGTTGACAATTAAAATCTTTTCACTGGAGTTAATGCCCAACCCGGCCTCCCGCGTAAAGTGTCTTATGGAACTGCTATTATCTCACTGCTGATAAGATTTGTCTCAACTAAAAGACACATATTCTGTGAACCAGAAAAGAAGGTGTCAGTGACATAGGAAGAGGATACATGGAATTGACCCAGTAACTAATGGCTTATCCCAAGGCAAGATTTCCTGCAGACTAACATACAACCATATTCAGCATGGTTGTCTTCTCATAAATCAATCCTAATCAAAATGGCAAAGCCCTCCCCTCAAAAGAAAAGACACCCCCCCCCCATCAGAGTGTGATGCCTCCAAAAGTGGCAATTGCTCACACTCAATCCTTTCAAGGCTTGCTTACATGTAAGTCCATTCATGTTCCCATAATTTCAATTTAGGATTGAGTGCGTCACCCCTCTATCGTTCAAAAGCAGAGTCTTTCTCTCTGAAAATAATAATAAAGAACATATCCACTTATCCTTTCTGGAAAATCTCCCTGGCCCCCTCCCCCAGGAAGAAAGAAGATAGTGCACAGTTCCTTGAATACCTGTTCTCTTGCATGAAAGACACATTTATTTTCTGCATTAATGTTTCATGAGTTCCCATTTTGCTAGGGGAATGTGGACTTTCCTTTTGATTGTTGTTACCAGTGTCTGGTGCTTAAACTTGCTCAGAAATGTTACTTATGGGCAGAATTGGATTTCCAATTAGTGGTGTTCATTTGGCCCTGTGCTGCTTACTCATGAAATGCTAATGATCTCCTCTGTGTCCCACTTTTATCCATACTCCAGATGTCATTGCAGCTTGCATGCTGTTTTCCCTATTGCTGTTTGGAATGTGGGCTGGTTTCTGTGAGTGATGGAGAAAAAATCACAGGGAATGGATTCAGTTGCTGTGCTTGGGAAAGTAGACTTCACTGAATCATTGTTCTTTAGACACCTACCTTTGTATTGCTTCTGAAAATCCTAATGGATTTGTCCTGCAATTAGAAATAAAGAAACATAAAAAAGATTTTTTTAAAAAAAAAAAAAGCATGTACATAATGGGTAATGAAATAGTGGAAAATAATTGTACATGTTCATATCTGTATCAGTACTGATATCAATATGCCAGATTGGTGGAAAGATGCATAAAAGTTTACATTTTCTTGTTGTACTCTGATCTCTTCTATAAAGGGTTCATATAAATATGAAGTTTACTGAACATAAGGAAAAATGCAAAGACTAATATGAAAATGGACATTATGCATGTGAATAATATCTTTCAAATTCTTTTTTATCTGACAAATGAAAAGGCAAATGTGAAGGATGTAAGAGGGAGCTAAATGTGTTTGCATACCTACTGAATTCATAACTTTTTCTAGGGAAGCAACAAAATTAAACTTCACCATGCTGTTTATTACAACCATGATTGCCAAACTCCATTTATCTCAATCATGCATGCATCTGGAGAAATATCTCCAGTCAGAGTTTTCTCATACAGATTCATACCTGCAGGGGGCAGAAAACGAATATGCTTTCTGTTGGACAATATATTGTACAGTTGAATTGCTCTGCTCTACTATTTTGGCAGTTCTTGCTAAGTTAACTATCACTTGTGATCTCTGAAGTCCACTGTTCATACATTTGTTGCCATTTGCTTTGACTTGCAGATGAAATTCCAACAGTGGTTGGGATCTTCAGTGCCTTTGGGCTGGTCTTCACTGTCTCCCTCTTTGCTTGGATCTGCTGCCAACGCAAATCTTCTAAATCAAACAAGACTCCTCCTTATAAATTTGTTCATGTGCTGAAGGGTGTTGACATTTATCCTGAGAACCTCAACAGCAAGAAGAAGTTTGGTGCAGAGGACAAAGGGGAAGCCAAAAACAAGCCAATTATGCCAAAGAGCTCTCTGCATCTTGACCTGGAGAAGCAAGATCTGAATGGCAACTTCCCCAAAACAACCCCTAAAATACCAAGTTCCTCAGATGTTGAGGGCTTTACTCCAAAGTTCTTTCCTGAGAGGGAAAAAGATTCAGTGTCCCCTGACAGCTTGAAGTCTGCCACATCAATATCTTCTGAAGAAAAGCAAGATAAATTAGGAACTCTCTTCTTCTCCATTGAGTACAACTTTGAAAAGAAGGCTTTCATGGTGAACATCAAAGAAGCACGTGGCTTACCAGCCATGGATGAACAATCAATGACTTCTGATCCATACATCAAAATGACAATACTACCAGAGAAGAAACACAAGGTGAAAACTCGAGTGCTAAGGAAAACCTTAGATCCAGCTTTTGATGAAACCTTCACCTTTTATGGGATCCCTTATACTCAAATTCAAGATCTGAGTCTCCACTTTATGATCCTGAGTTTTGACCGGTTCTCCCGAGATGATGTCATTGGAGAAGTCCTCTTTCCCTTATCAGGAATTGAGTTGTCTGAAGGAAGGATGCTGATGAACAAGGAAATCATCAAAAAAAATGTTAGGGTAATTGATCTTATTTATTCTTTCTTCTTTCCCTACCTTCTCAGAGTATTTTGAAGAGATGAGCTGTAAAAATAGCAGTATAATGTAGACATCTTGAATAAATAAATGAACTAGACATTCTGAACAGGAAAAAGGATCTGTAAACCAATATTCTCTTTCCATTTGTATCAGGCCAGGCAAGAAAGGGAATGATTTGTAATGAAATAACTCCTGACACTAAATCTAAGTCTCAGTTTTCCAATTCCTACTTAGCACTAGAGCGCATGTTTTGGCATTTAAGATAACAACCCAATCTATGCAACACAACATTGTAAAACGTAATGGAGTAAGCCATGTTCCAGAGTACTAGAAGATGCTTTAAAATGAGCCAGACCACAGGTTAGTTCTGGAAGAAGCTCTACAAGGGATTTCAGGAATTCAACTGGTCCTTTTGAACTATCCATCTTTGCTGTAGCTAAAACGTGGTCCTGTGACCCTCTGTACTAACTAACAGAAATAGATCTTGCAACAAGCAGGATTGGGTATGGGAACTGCATCAGCCCAATAGCCCAGAGGTCATATTTTGTGTTATCAGCATCAAGGCATTGAACTCAAGTGGGACATCACAAGCAGAGCAGCTCTCTTACGCTCTGATCGATTAGAGCACAGTGCCATGATGCTGAATTGTTTAACAGCTATAGAAGTGGGCAGTTGTGAGCTTACAAATTTGACAGGAACAGCAATAGTTAAAATTTGTGACAGGATAAAAGAAATAGTCTAAATGTACCAACAGAGTTTTATGAGCCTTCTTAGTAAGACAAATTCGTTTCGCAGGAGGCAAACCAGAAGAAGCTTTGGTTCCTTGTCAAGCATAGTGTAGCAATCATAGCGCAAAGATACAAGCCAACAGCCTATGAGCCTTCACAGGAACAAGAAATTAGACAACAATCCACAGGGCTGCTGTAAACTGTCGATTCAATTATAATAAGAGATATTCAAATCAACTGCTGAAGGGCCGATTCCTCTCCTTTCTTCCACTGAAACAGTAATATCAATATTTTATTTGTGATTAAAAATATTGGAAGAAGAACTAATTATAGACACAGTCCAGGGCATGGGCTAGGTGTATACCTATCAAACAATATAGCATTAGAAATTACAGAAATAAGTCTATGAGCTAAATTGTACTAGTATCATCACCCATACAAATGCCACATGAATCCGAAACACATTCAGGATAGGATGATTCGGAATCCAAGGACAGCCTAGATATGTTTAATAACACCTTTTTCTACTTCAGATCATCTTGTCTATCTTTCCTTTCCTTTGTTGAGTTTCAAAGGAATATTTGCCAAGCAAAGTCACTCACTCCATCTCAGACCTATAATGAGAAAATCTGTAAGTGTTCAAAATGAAAACACTGTACAGGTATAGGGAGTAATGAAGATTACTAACCCTAACCCTGATGGAAATATACAAGAACTGTCACCTAGGGAAAAGGGGCTGAAACTTTTTTTTTTTTTTTTATAAGTTCAGAGCAATGAGATAACCTTTGGAAGTGGTTCAGGCAGATGCCTCCCTTACTAATTGGACTATAAAAAGAGGGAGGAGGGACAGCAGACTTGCAAGATTCTGTTATTATAGCCTATCTCAATAAATTGCAGTTTTAGCCTTCCTGTGGAGTGGATTTCCTCATCTGGTCTACCTACTGGGGCTCGCAACAGGTCACTCTGCAGTAGAGACATGAGTACTAGTGGTTTGGAAAGCAAATCCATTTTTTTAAAAATAGATTTTAACTAATCTCCACAGGTGAGAGTATACGGCTTACCTTGTTTGAGTTCAAAAGGTAAGCAGAGTTGAGCTTGATAAAGGGCCCCTATTAAATACCAAGGTTATAGGTTTGACTGTGATGTTGAAAAAAAAAAAAATTGGAAGAAGGCAAAGAGAAACCACTTCCGTAATGCTTCTGAGAAATCATATCCATCCGTCCATCCATCCATCCATCCATCCATCCATCCATCATCTGTCTGTCTGTCTGTCTGTCTGTCTGTCTCTCTCTCTCTCTCTCTCTCTCTATCTAATTCAGCAATGTGTATTGAAAAAGAGAGAGGATTTCCATATATTACAAGAGTAAACTCAGTTTCTGAGTTGCTCCTCATAGAGCCAAATGGCACCATCCACACACAAGAAGTAGTATAAGAAGTTTTAGGGAAACTCAAAATTCAGGCTGCATTCTAATAAAATAGCCCAGTATCCAAGAGTTGCAGAGGGCTGGCTGGCTGTTGGAATGGGTATGGTAGGAGAAAAGACCAAGTAGAAGGGGTGGGGAATAGAGTATCCCAGAAAAAATAGAGAAGGAGAATTTGCTGGACACCTGAATACCTCATTTAATAGCACATTGCTTTATAATATGCTAAAATTGTTTAAATTTTAAATTTTAATTAAATTTTTAATTTAATTAAAATGATAATAATAAAAAATAAATTTAATTTAATTTAATTTAATTTAATTTAAAATTGATAATGAAGCTCAAGCTCAGATACTTTGGTCACCTAATGCGAAGAGAGGACTCTTTGGAAAAGACCCTGATGCTGGG